AGAATGTGTAAAGACTTCCCCAACACATCCACTCTGACAGTGCTGTTGATCATCTATGTGCAATATCTAAGTCTTTCCATGTTCTGTGCAATATTTTTGGCTCATGTGCAATATTTTGGTCCCAGTCTATTTCAATGTTTCTTACACATACACCATTGTATATAGTTTCACTCACATATATGTATACATATACACTGCTTTTTATTGTATTTATTTATTTCCCCCCCTTCGTTGTATATTGGTTTCTCTTCTTCTTACTTTTGCACCTTTGTGGTCTAGCTACCCAATTTCGCTGTGCAAGAAACTGCACAATGACAATAAATAGCTCTAAGTCTCTAAGTCTCTAAGTCTTCACATGGCAAAAATAGCAATCATTGAGATGATCTCACGGTTTCTGCCACACCATCAGGATTGCAAATAGCATTGCTGCTTTTTGCAGAGTTAGCAAGTCCACTGGAACAACTGTTGCAGGAGAAATGTTGACCCCAAGATTTATCCTGGTCACCCAGTGGACAGCCAAAGTACAATTTGTATATCTTCTTAAGGTCTGTGGTAATTAGGCAATGTTGTGCTTTAGTTGTTAATGAACCACCCAAGTAACAGAAACTGTCTAGGGCGCAGAGCAATTGCAATTTTTGGTATGAATTAACCAAAAAAAAAAAAAAAAGAACTCTGCTAGCTAGCATAATGGACAGGTTTTTGACGGGGCTCGCACACAAACGAAAAGCAGAAGTTGAAGCATCACCAAATATGCATACAAACCCACTTCCTTCCAAACCAAAAAGCAGAAAATATGATGAAGCATTTCTTGCGCTTGGCTTCACCTGCACAACGGTGGGTAATGAGTAGGGATGGGTATCAAAAACCGGTTCTTGTTGAGAACCGGTTCCCACTGTTTCAATTCCTTGGAATTGTTTGCCATTTTTGCAAACGATTCCCTTATCGATTCCAGTTTCCCCGAATGACGTCACCACGTTGCGGAGCGTCATTTACCTGGCAGGAAACATGGCGGCTCAAACGCTCAAAAGTTTGGTTATACTTTTCGAGAACAGATGACAACAGGGCAACTTGCAATACTTGTAAAGTATAAAGTAGATATTTTGTTTAAGGGAGGAAACACTACGAATATGCAAAAGCATTTTCTCACAAAACGCACAATGACCTTAAATGAATGTCGTGTTTTTAATTCCGCTCCGGACTCGTGAATCTCAACCCAGCAGCAGCGGTAACGTTTGCACGTCTTCTCCCGTTAATGCGGCAGGTAAATAATCAACTAACAGTGCATATTATGTTAGCGTGATCTGCCTTATTACAAAACCTGCCATTACTGTGCATTTAGGTGACCATGATGAGCGAGACAGACAGAGTCTGGCTCAGATGCTGGCAGTTCTCGCTGCAGTCTATTACTAGTAATACTATAACTTTTTTATACATGGGCCCATACTGGTAATGACTGATGTCATCGCCACAGTCAACTACATCAAAACACGACCTGTGAAAGCCCAGATTTTTTCGGCACTGTGTGAAGAAATGGGCTCCAACTACACAGCCGTTTTGTATCACAGCGAGTCCCAATGGCTGTCATGTGGGAAGGAGAGAGGTCTTTGAACTGCGAGATGAGATCCGCAGCTTTTTGAAGAAAGAGGGCAGTGATCTTACCAACAAATTTAACTGTAACAACTTTCTCATGAAACTGGCATACCTCAGTGACATGTTCCTGAAACTCAATGAACTAAATTTACAGATGCAGGGCAGGAACACTCACCTCCCACATCTGACAGATAAAGTCACATCATTTGTCAGAAAACTTGAAATGTGGAAGCAACGAGTGAAAGATAGAAACGTGGACTCATTTGAGAATTTGAAATCATTCATTGAAGACAACAAGCTGCAGAATACAGTGATCCCATGCATGAACAAACACGTCTGCCCTTCAGAAACATTTCCAGAGACATTACCTGGTGCAAGATTCCAAATAATATGACTGGATCCGTGACCCCTTCAGTCCAACACCCCCTGCTGACTTCAGCACATACAAGGAGGAACAGTTCATTGATCTTACCTGTGATTCAACTAAGAGGCTGCAGTTTAATTCAAAGACCCTGAAGATCTTCTTGTAAAACAAATTGCAAAAAAGCAAAAAAAGTTTGGGTGCCACTGATCTATTCAGTTGTGTAAATCCACAAGAGCAGTAAAACTTAGAGCAGTAGTAGCCTAGCTCAGTTAATCACAGTTTGTGAAAAATCTGCTGGAGTTCTCAATAGAAAGTTCTTTGAGTTGTGATTATTTTCCCTATTGACTACAATTTTAGGGTTCCTCCATGTGCTGAATCCCACTTTAATCCCTTCCATACTCATTTTGCTGGTTAGAGACAAGAAAAAGTTTGGGGGTTTTTTCCTTCTTTTTCAATTTCCATCTTCTACTAAAGTAATTCAAGTATAAGCTGGGCTACTATAGCGCCAGGTTCAGTTAACTTTGTAAAAAAACTGCTGGTTGAATCATCTTCCAACAAGCAACAACTTTTTACTTTCTTAATTGGAGTATATTTCAGAGCCTGTACTTTTTCGCTTTTATTTGAGTAAAGAAGTTGAATTAGTAAATGGACTTATTCTTATACAGGGAGTGCAGAATTATTAGGCAAGTTGTATTTTTGAGGAATAATTTTATTATTGAACAACAACCATGTTCTCAATGAACCCAAAAAACTCATTAATATCAAAGCTGAATGTTTTTGGAAGTCGTTTTTAGTTTGTTTTTAGTTTTAGCTATTTAAGGGGGATATCTGTGTGTGTAGGTGACTATTACTGTGCATAATTATTAGGCAACTTAACAAAAAACAAATATATACCCATTTCAATTATTTATTTTTACCAGTGAAACCAATATAACATCTCCACATTCACAAATATACATTTCTGACATTCAAAAACAAAACAAAAACAAATCAGCGACCAATATAGCCACCAAGGACACTCAAAAGCCTGCCATCCATGGATTCTGTCAGTGTTTTAAACTGTTCACCATCAACATTGCGTGCAGCAGCAACCACAGCCTCCCAGACACTGTTCAGAGAGGTGTACTGTTTTCCCTCCTTGTAAATCTCACATTTGATGATGGACCACAGGTTCTCAATGGGGTTCAGATCAGGTGAACAAGGTGGCCATGTCATTAGTTTTTCTTCTTTTATACCCTTTCTTGCCAGCCACGCTGTGGAGTACTTGGACGCGTGTGATGGAGCATTGTCCTGCATGAAAATCATGTTTTTCTTAAAGGATGCAGACTTCTTCCTGTACCACTGCTTGAAGAAGGTGTCTTCCAGAAACTGGCAGTAGGACTGGGAGTTGAGCTTGACTCCATCCTCAACCCGAAAAGGCCCCACAAGCTCATCTTTGATGATACCAGCCCAAACCAGTACTCCACCTCCACCTTGCTGGCGTCTGAGTCGGACTGGAGCTCTCTGCCCTTTACCAATCCAGCCACGGGCCCATCCATCTGGCCCATCAAGACTCACTCTCATTTCATCAGTCCATAAAACCTTAGAAAAACCAGTCTTGAGATATTTCTTGGCCCAGTCTTGACGTTTCAGCTTGTGTGTCTTGTTCAGTGGTGGTCGTCTTTCAGCCTTTCTTACCTTGGCCATGTCTCTGAGTATTGCACACCTTGTGCTTTTGGGCACTCCAGTGATGTTGCAGCTCTGAAATATGGCCAAACTGGTGGCAAGTGGCATCTTGGCAGCTGCACGCTTGACTTTTCTCAGTTCATGGGCAGTTATTTTGCGCCTTGGTTTTTCCACACGCTTCTTGCGACCCTGTTGACTATTTTGAATGAAACGCTTGATTGTTCGATGATCACGCTTCAGAAGCTTTGCAATTTTGAGACTGCTGCATCCCTCTGCAAGATATCTCACTATTTTTGACTTTTCTGAGCCTGTCAAGTCCTTCTTTTGACCCATTCTGCCAAAGGAAAGGACGTTGCCTAATAATTATGCACACCTGATATAGGGTGTTGATGTCATTAGACCACACCCCTTCTCATTACAGAGATGCACATCACCTAATATGCTTAATTGGTAGTAGGCTTTCGAGCCTATACAGCTTGGAGTAAGACAACATGCATGCAGAGGATGATGTGGACAAAATATTCATTTGCCTAATAATTCTGCACTCCCTGTATAGCACTTTTCTACTCTTCCGAAGTACTCAAAGCGCTGTATACAACATGCCACACTCACCCAATCACACCCATTCTCACAAGCACTTTCTCTATACATAGTGCTTTCTAACTACTATCACACACATTCATACTCTGATGGACGCATCACAGAGCAACTTGGGGTTAGTATCTTGCCTAAGGATACTTGACATGCAGACTGGAGCCAGGGATCAAACCACCAACCTTCCGATCAGTAGGTGACCTGCTCTACCTCCTGAGCTACAGCCACCCCTAGTACTTCAAGTTTTAATGGAGTTTTTTTTTTTTGGTCTGTACTTCTAAGTAAGTACAGAATGTCTGTATTTTTGCCACTCTGGGTGAGAGTAATATAAAGCTTTAGCTTTATGTAATTTCAAGACTATGATCAGTATTACTTTAGTAGTTAATGCTGTTTTTAGAGCAAAATCTATTGTTCACTAGTTTTTTCACAAGTTAATTTATTTCACTATCTAAAAATGGAAGGCAATTTTCAACTATATTTCAACTAACACTTGATTTGACACTTGACACACAGATTAAAAGTAAAGCTCAATTCTACGAGGAAAATCAAATTCCCACACAGCTTTTCTTAAAGTGTGCACTGAGTTTAAGTGTTAATGGTTCTAATGACCAAAGTCACATATGTGCTAAACAGTGTCCCACGTACCCTACATAGTTTGCTCTGGCAACAAATTCAATTACTACATTATATAGTGTCCTCTTGTGTTACCTGGACCCCGACCAAGTAGTAACCAAGTAACTCAATAATATCAAATACCCAAGGTGAAAATATAAAGTCATTCTCTTACCTTTGACTGGAGATGTTGGTGAGTGTGGTAGGATTATGCACAGATAAGGTATATTTGCTTGTGGAAAGGTTTGTCTCTGTCTCCTTTTCAGCTGTATGCTTCATTGTCTTTCCATTATGTTGCTATAAACAGAAAGCAGAAACCACACTGACAACTGTTATGAATTTACAGATTCAAATTGTGATTCCTTTTATTTGATAACAGTAACAGCATACACCAATAAGCTGCAAATCTTGAAGAGGCAAGTTAGAATTTGGGCGTCCAGTGGTAGAGTTTGCCACATTGGAGTCAATACCAGTACTGGTATTCTTCCTCTTATTCCTTAGACGTTGCCTTAAACGGTCCCGTAGTTTCTTTCTCTGCTTCCTGTTTGTAAAGAAACAAAGTAGATCGTGAAAGAGCCCAGATCGCAACTTGGATACATAACTGATGGCAGTCCCACATAAACAAAAAGATAGTAAAAGTAATTCATAGTTGATGCTAGCAAAAGTAATTTATGTTTATAACATTGTACAACAGTACAATGAATATGGTTGTATTGGCCACGAGCAACACAAATTCCTCAAAATTCTCTCAGCCCACTTGGTTTTACCGTATCTCTGATCATTGAATTGTGGATGATGTCCAGCTTTATAGGTAACTTTAGAAATGTTATAATGGTTTCACTGTGTGAAGAAGTGCAATGGATGAATGTAACAGACTTTTGTAGCTAAATCACAATAAAAGACACATCAAATCATGCTTTGAATCAGATATTAAACAAACATACATTTTCAATTACAAAAATTGTAAAACTAATAGTCTATACTAATGTTTGAACCAAGGAGGTCTACTGCACAATTAAAATTGTACAATTGAGCATCTACTAATTAAAATACTTCAGAGTATCTCATCTTAACATCTTTTTTTATTCTTTGATCTGAATACTTTCTTTTATTTATGCCCCTTCTTTTTTATACATTTTGCATTCATTTATTCAACCACAACTACAAAAGAGAAACTGCACCCTGAATTTGGCGGTACAATATGAAACTATAATAAAATCAGGGACAGTACCTACATAGTATACAATGAAAAACAAAAAATGGCATTAATGACATTACTTGGTTTTGCAGTAGGCAACCACACACATGATTCCAACGACTAGGAGCGCAATGCAGATTCCAGTTATTGTTAAAATACGTTTCTGATACAGCTCCTCAGCTTCTGAAAAAAAAGGACAACCATTCTTTAAAACATTATATCTAAACACACACAGTCAACCACAAACACACACAAAGACTCTGTCAGCCCTAAACCCAAACAATTTTTAAAACGACTCTGTAATACAGTTTTTATATTTCTAGCAACCACAGTCCACATGCAAAGATTTGAAGAGAGATAAATCTGTGTCTTTAATCTAACTGAAATGTAATTATTAGAGGGGGAAAGGCAGTGGCAGGTGTATTATGCTCTTTGATTCCCATAAGCTTATAATTCATATTATTTTTTTTATTTTTTGTCCAAAATTAATCTAATTTAAATCAGTCGTAGAGGTGACAAATAACAAAGTACTTCATTTCACATCACTGCATACCTTCAAATATCAAAGTGGTTTGAAACTAAACAGTTAATACACAAATATGGATGGGTACCGGTATCCGGTGCCATTATGGCACCAGTTCTGACATAAACGGTAGTAATCAGACCGAAAAGCACCGCACATTTCATTGCTTTATTTCGGTGCTTTTTTTTCTTGAGATGTCATACACTTTGGATTCTAGCCAATCATTTTACCTTTCCAAGGATAGTAGGTGGGCCCAGGTAGGTATGTTCTTTTAGAGCAGAGCTACAGATTAAAAATGCCCAAGGCGAAGCGGTCAAAAGTCTGGCTGTACTTCACAGCAAAAGATGCAAACTCAGCAGCCTGCAACAAGTGCTTTAAGGTGATACTGTGATACTGTCAAAGGAGGTAACACCTCGAATCTGATGAAACACCTGGCGACGTATAGCATTTTGTTAAAAGCCGAGAAATGCGCCGTGTTTGATAGCTTGCTGCAAGACCTCACACCAAGCACATCTACTGCGGGTGTGGTGCCTGTTATCGGATCTGGAGTTAGCAACATCCCCCTAGAACCCGAAGAGGAGAGTCCTGGCCCTAGCCCTGCCAGTGTAGCAGAAATGATGGCAGATGATAATGCTAGCAGCAGCCGTTCTTCTCTTAATGTGGCTTAATGTTGTTCGTGTGTAATTTACGTTGAGTAGGCTAACCACGTTATTAAATTAATGCATGTAAGGTGACCTAACAAACACCGTCGTAGTTACATGCGGCTGTCTTCTTGTTTGATGGCAGATACTCCCTTCACCCTGGCCAAAAAAGCTAAAATGACCAAAGAAAAAGTGGAAAACAGCTAAACATGAGAGGTCTTTGGACAAAGTTTGTGTTTTTTCCATTGTTTAAGCACTGCTTCCAGCCAAGAGTGATACCATATATGCCCTATAGCTGCAGAAAAGGCTAACATTGTTATCTTTTTACAAAAAAACACAGCTAAACATGAGAGGTTTTTGGACAAAGTTTGTGTTTTCCATTCTTTAAGCACCGGTTCGAGCACTGTTTAAGCACTGGCACCATTTCAAAAGTACCGGTGTGGCATCAGTATCTGATAAAACCTAGACGATACCCATCCCTATACACAAAGGACTATCCTAACGGTGTTTCACCAAGGATTATTACATATAAAGTGACGGAAAAGGCAAAAACGTGTAATTTATGCATAACTTATTGTATGTTTGTTTTGGGGAGTTTTGCCACATCAAAACGAGTGTCAATGTACATAAGATATATTTGTGATACTTCAGAATCTAGATAGACCTACAGAAGAGGAGCGAGCATAAAAGGAGTAATATAGCAGGTAAATTAAAAGGCAATGTTTCAGTTAACAAGTTAACAAGTATCAGCAGACACACAAACTGTTTGTGTTCAGCCTGCACACTGTGTCCACTTGTGTTTCCCAGGTAGAGGAAAGAGTGAGAGCAAACGTCACACAGCAATGGAGAATGATAAGGACTACTCAGTGACATTTGATAAACTTGGCGTTGGAAATCAGCCAAAACAATTCATTAAAAACATCTGCTTACATCTTCTTGAATTCAAATGTGTAAATCTACAAATATTAACAAAATCTCAGAGCCGCAGCAGCTGATCACAGCCAGTGTACAAAGAAAATCTATTGAGGCTCATGTAACATATGTGTTAAATACTTGTAAATTTCACCCCAAACACCTTTTTTTTAAATTAAATATTTCATTTTGCATTTTAATCTCCTGCCTGTGTGATCTGAGTCTGTGTGTGTTCATGTGTGTGCGCGCTACATATGACGTAGGCGCGTGCATGTGTGCCCCGGTCACCGCTCCTTTCAGCATGGCCGGAGGAGAGGTGTCCTGGCAGACGCGACACACACAGCTCAGGCCTTTATTTCTGTGTTGCAGATGTGCAGTAAAAAGCCAAAGACCCAGTGCTGTCTCCTGTCTCTTACTTTCATGCCAGAACACAATGCATAGACAGACGTAACATACAGATGGGTTACATTGGTGCATCAAGCATCGACGTCATCTCGATCACCTCTGCCCTTTGCAACACATAGGCAGCGACTGCCAAACAACCGCCAGCAGGCTCTTAAACGACTGCACACTCTCAAGCAGAGTCTTGACAGGAAGGCAGACATAAGAGATCACTTTGTTAAGTTCATCCAGAAGATGTTTGACACTCAGCAAGCAGAGTTAGCACGTGCTTTGAAGCCTGAGGAAGAGTGCTGGTATCTTCCATTGTTTGGAGCATACCATCCGCAAAAGCCTGGACAAATACGGGTAGTTTTTGACTCGAGCGCCAAACACGAGGGGGTGTCGTTGAATGATGTCCTTTTAAGTGGTCCAGACTTGAACAACACTTTGGTTGGAGTGCTACTGCGGTTTCGAAAAGAGCTTATAGCAATAACTGCAGATGTTCTACTGCTTTACTGTAAGGGAAGATCACCGGAACTACCTACGTTTTCTCTGGTACCGAAACAATGACCTCTCAAAAGATGTGACAGAGTTCCGCATGACAGTGCATGTGTTTGGCAATACCCCTCACCAGCTGTGGCGATCTATGGGCTGAGAAAAGCAGCTCAAGCAGGAGAGGCAGAGCACAGCAAAGATGCAAGAAGTTTGTTACCAGAAACCTTTATGTCGACAACTGTCTGACTTCACTCCCTACAGAAACAGAAGCCATCAGTCTTCTTCAAAGAACACAGAAGATGTTAGCTGAGTCCAATTTATGGCTACACAAAATTGCCTCAAACAGTAGCAAGGTAATGGATGCATTTCCAGCTGATGATCTGGCCAAGGACCTGAAAAACCTAGACCTAGGGACAGATTCTCTTCCTGTTCAGCGTAGCCTTGGACTGAGCTGGAGTCTTGAATCAGATCTTAGATGCCATGCTGCTGCAGTCGGGGCCTACCCGTCTTTCTCATGAAGTCCTTCACCTTGATGGCAGAAGTGATGGCAATTATGAATGCTCATCCATTGGTTCCGGTGAGTACAGATCCAGAGTCACCGACAGTGTTGACACCAGCAATGCTTCTTACTCAGAAGGCAAACGTTGTGTCTGCTCCCGAAGGGGTGTTTGACTTGAAAGACCTATACAGGAAACAGTGGCGACATGTCCAATGTCTAGCCGACATCTTTTGGAAACGATGGCGACAAGAATATTTGACAACACTGCAGTCCAGAAAGAAGTGGATCAATGACAAAAGGGACATGCAAGTCGGAGACATTGTCTTACTGAAGGATGACCAACCAAGCGAAATGAATGGCCTATTGGTCTCATTGTTAAGAACATCCCTAGTCAAGATAATAAAATCAGAAAGGTGGAGGTTAGGGTTGTGAAACAAGGTGCTCCACGGATTTACCTATGTCCAGTTTCTCAGCTCATCCTTCTGTTCCCCAAGGAAACTATAAAGAAAGACTGAGGTATACAGGAAACTAAACAGTAAAGTAAAAGAAGTAGTGGTATAAAATAATTTGTGTGTTGGTATAACTTTAATGTGGTAATATGCTTTTGTTTGTATGATTTGTTTGTGTTAAAAGTCCGCTTGTTCATTGTAACTGTTTATACTACGTTACCCATGATGCACCTTGGTATCTGTACTTCCGGTTGGGAACGTGTTCAGCGCAGTTCTGCGCAGATGAGAGGTGTGTCGGAGGATAACGTATTTACTTGCATTCCTGTGTGAGTTAATACTGTGTGCGTGCTTACTATGTGAGTATTGTAAGATGAGAGCGATGCTTGTTTGACTTTATCTGTGTAATTTGCTACGTAAGAAGCTAGTCCCGTTGCTATCGCTAAGATACGTTTTTTGACCTACTACAGGCAGGCTTGTGTTCAGCCCAGATTTCATTCCATATATGACTTACTGTCAAGCATTGTGGTTGTAGGTGGATGTAACTATTTACTATGTTTATTCTCTGAAGCGTTGTAATCTGCAGAGGTCTGGTTTGCCAATGTATATACGAGCCAGAAATTCATTTATGGTCTTAGGGTGCCATCTAGTGGCCATGAGGTTATGGCAGATTGTATAACATTACGCTGGAAACCCACAGTACTGTAGAAGGGGTACACTGCTATCCATAGTGGTTAATACAAATGTTTGTTCTTTCTGTTTACAGATGACCACACACACACCCATATACACACTCACACCCCCTTTACCTGCATGTGAATACTGTAATGCCTCCCTACCAACGCTGTACATCCTGTTGATGTCATCTGCCACCTCCTTAGTAAAGTTATTTGAACTACCTCACTGTGGAGTGCCATTCCTTCTGACCGAGGACGACTCAGTTGAAGCGTGATCGGCAATCAGTGCAAACATACATTACAGTTTGTATGATTTGGGAAGTTGTTATGCCCAGCTTGTTTGCTACAAGTGCTCAGTGGAGGTGAAACCTTTGCCCACGCATGCCTTTAAGTTTCCATTACATACTATAACCTCAACTATCTGATTTGTGATGCATGTGTAATTTGAGTATACTGAGTTACTATTTCAGCTGTGTGGTCATTACTCATTTGTAAAGCTACTTGTGCGCTAGCGACTGTATATTAGCATGTGTTTGCTAACTTGCTATGATCAATAATGCTAGTTAACTGAAGGTGTTTATGTTTAATTTAGGCAACCTTAAGATTGAT